TTTTTTATGTTTGTATGGACAGGTTGTGACTGTTTCTTCTACTGTGCAGTGTAACAATTTGTTTTTCTTTTTAAATTTTTATGTACAGTTGCTGTACAGGAGGTACAGTGGAAATTTCCTTGTGAATCTTTTGGGTAAGTGGAAGGAGTCTGAATATTCCGGTGGACAATTCATTCCGGTCGGTGGTCTTGCATATTATATCACTGCCCCTTCAAGGTAATTTAGATTACTTTCCCGCTTGAAGATGTTATGTTCTCTGCCTAATAAAGCTTGCATTTTTGTTCGTAAACCTGATAATTATGTGTGCTTCGCCCTCTATTCTTGCTGATGGCTGCTTTAATTGATACGTTGCTATAATGTTTTGCAGCTTAGCTGATATGGCAGCCAATCCTTTCCATGCACTCTTCTATCTTGTGTTCATGCTGTCAGCCTGTGCACTTTTCTCAAAAACATGGATTGAAGTTTCTGGATCCTCTGCCAAAGATGTTGCCAAGCAGCTCAAGGTAAGTTCAAATAGTTTATGTATTCTCTTTTGTTGCAAATGAGGGGGTTAGTGTGGCTCCTACCCATTGTATTCTCATATCTTACGATTTGTTTGACCTTATGGTCTTGTCTTGAGTTTAGTGGCCAGATCAGACCCATCCCACTCGAATTATTTTCCTACCAAATGCACAATTTATATACATAGTGCATTTGACTTTTTTTTTTATTTTATTTTATTTTTAATGAAGAAAAGTTTAGGGGGAGGGGAGGGTACCCCATCCCAGGGTCAGGGCATACCAAGGCCTCTTTGAGGACTGCATTTGACTACTCTTAAATCTGCGGCATTGTGTATTATACACACAGCTATGCATCATGCTAAATTACATCTTCCTTTCTAATTTGCAGGAACAACAAATGGTGATGCCTGGTCATCGTGAATCAAACTTGCAGAAAGAGTTGAACCGATACATTCCCACAGCTGCCGCCTTTGGAGGCATGTGCATTGGTGCTCTGACAGTGTTGGCCGATTTCATGGGTGCAATTGGTTCAGGAACGGGAATTCTGCTTGCAGTCACAATCATCTATCAGTACTTCGAGACATTTGAGAAAGAGAGAGCCAGTGAGCTTGGTTTCTTTGGTTTCTAGGCAATTTGTTGC